GAATATATTTTTCTGTACTGTAGACCCCAGACTACCTGTTCCTGTGTCTACTGCTGCTCTACCCTTGGCTTTTCTGAGGGACACGTCTCTTCACTTCATTAAGTGATGCTGCTCTGGTACAAATGGCCCCTTAGCTGGATTTGTATTCTGAAGTCGCAGACCAGACATGGGAATAAGCCCCACATTTTGAATCAAATCAAATTCATTGTTGATAAAGCTGTGTGTTGGCTAAATTAAGTTCTTCCCTTATGCTGGTGATATGTCTTAAATTAGTCACTCCCTACTACACACTTTTGTATTAGCTATGATTGGAAGAGCTAATAACATTACAGAGGTGTTAATTTACATGTAGACAGACCTGGCACACAGCAGATGCTGGCTTATTGGGTAACCTACTCAGGAAAATTAATCAAGTCTTCCCATCAGTTTGTGCTAAACAAGAGTGATCTGTTAAATCGGTGTTAGTAGGAAATTTGCATGCTCAAGAGATCACCTACTAATAAAGTTACCCAGTGGCCCCAGGGGTTAATACTGTATTCTTCAGGGCTGCTGCTAAGGGCTGATGATGTTAGCTGAACTACCTCCAGCTGTTGCTTAGGTTTGTTCAGCAGCTTAAATTCAAGCTGCAGCCCCAGCCTGGAGACTTGTCCAGGTTTAACCAAGTCCCTGCCATCGATGCAGCCAGTTGCAGATGCGTCTGCAGGAATTCAAAGCATAGGTGTCCCCATAAAGGGTGCTGTGGCCCTGCCAGGCTCCTGCTCCCTCAGCTTTTTCTACATCAATGTTTTGTTCAAGCTTTTCAAGGCTGCATTTGAGGAGCCAGCTTGGGCAAGTCTTGGGCCTGTCTGCAGTGACATGAAGGCTCAGATAGCCTGGGGCAGGGATGAAGGCCCAACTCCCAGTCTGCTCCTGTCTGCTGTGTAGGAGGCAGCTGGTCTTGGGCGACAGTGCTTTTGAAGCAGAGCTCTATCTTCTTGCACGGTTCTTGCAATCACCGAAACCTGCTGATAAGTCTCTGCATCTGAGCTCCACTGGAGTTCATGCTTTCCACGTGGTTTCCTACCAGTGAGCTGACCTCAACCCTTTCTCTGCAACTTGCTGCACTTTGGTGGGAAACAACAACTCCTTAGGAAGTGGGAGGCTTGTTTTCCTACTCATTTGCCCTTGAGGGAGAGATGAGCAAAACCACAGGCAGTCCCATGAGGATTCACGCCTTGGTCCTGCCTCTGAGGGTTAAAAACTCCCTCCTGGCTTCCATATAAGCAGAGAGCAAATTAGTGCTGCAAAACCAGGGAGCGTCTCTTTCCACAAGTCCCATTGTTGCTGCTGCTCACAGAGAGAAAAAGGTTTAGCACTGATAGGAAGCTGAAACACTTCTCCCCCCACACCCTGAACTCTGGAGCCTTTGGCCATAACCACGTACATCAGATCTCTGTTGCTGGCACTGGGGTGGCACCTAGAAGCCCTAGCCAGGACCAGGGGCAAAAGCTAAACAGAAAGATGGTTCCTCCTCCGAAGAGCTTCTAAGCATGATATGGGCCACAGGTGGGGCAGGGGTATATGGGAGGCAGGGCTGGCTGCTGGTTTCTTATCCTATAATGTCCCCTTGACTTACATATGGGGAGGGGAGGGGATGGAATAGGGACATTCACATCTGACCTGGGGCCACTCACACACGGTGCCATGTTTTGTCAGGACTCTTGCACTCTGGTGTTTTCCACCATCTGCTGTGGTTTTATTCCTCTGCCTGGTGCCCTGAGCAATCCCTTACCCCTGGGTCTAATGCCACCACCCCAGGTCAGCTGGAGCATCCCCTGGATGTCGGTGCTCTGTCTGCAGCATCAGCCCTGTAAGCAATTCTAGAGGTGTAAGTGTAAAGCATGGAACTGGTGAAATCTGCCCCAGCCACCTGCGGACCACAGCAAGGGAACCCAGGCATCTTGGTCTAACAGCCTTGCTGAAGGGGGAACCTCTTTTCAGACTCTGCTGCCTGCTGGGTGAGCTGGAATCCGGCTGGGCTTCGCCATCCAGCCACTAATGGTGTTGCAGGGCCTGCATTGGAGCTGCTGCTTGGGGTGATGTGGATCCTGGCAACAGTGTGCATGGAGTGGAGGGCATAGAAGCCCGTGACCAGAGATGCTTTGGTGAAAAGGAAAGCAAAGTACTGCCCAACTCCTTGTGCAGTGAGCACCAGCCAGGCCAGGCCGCGTGCGGAGCAAGGCCAGGACTCAAGCGGTGCGTGATCTCAGAACTTAAGGTGAGTGTGCAGGGGCAATGAAGATGGCTTGCTCAAAGTGCCACATTTCCCAGCTCCTGAGTGCTTGCCCTTGCACGTCTCATGTGCTGCTTTTGCTGTAGCTTTCTTGTGTGTAACTGAATCTAAGTGGACTACAGTCCAGGCCTCCCAGTCTGCAGCTGGGTCTCTTGGCTCACTCCAACCATTCTGCAATATGGAAAATCCCCATTCAGACATGCCTTGCCCAAGACTGGCCAGCTCCTTGGGTCATCTCACCATTTCCCACCCAGACGCCAGCAGAAAGTGAGTCACAGACTGCTCTAGATCTAGCAGAAAGTGCTTCCACTGTTCCCCAGAGCATGTGGTTTCTGCTGTACCTTGGTGAAGGTTGGGGCTGAAGGGCTGACTTAGAGGACAGAAGGTAGAGGGCTACAGCTGCAGCAAGCAGGTCTGTTATGACCTGGGCAGGACCCATGTCCTTGGCCTGGCAGCTGCCGGGGCAGGCACAGGGGCTCCGAATAAAGGTCTCCAGCTTGTGTGGGCTGGTGCGGTTGGAGACGTAAGAGGCAGAATGCAAGGATCTGCAGTTGAAATGAGCCAGTCTTTGAGGGGCTGCTGGGCTGGGCTGGAGAGAGACCAGGGGGAGCGTTAGCACCACCTAGGGAGAGTGCCTGCTGCCCCACACAAGAACCTGTCCCAGTCCCATCCCATCCCATCCCAGAGGAATCCCGGAGCAGCTTCCAATGCCTTGGAGGCCCCCAAAGCCTCCCTCATAGCCCTGAATTAGTCTCTGCCCCTGCATCCCTCCCCCCAAATGTGGTGATCCTTTGCTTTGTGCTCCTTGGCCCCCACAGGGGTTGGGTGACTCTGACATGCCTCTGAACTGTGTACAGGACTCTGTCCATGTCTGTGCAGAACCTGCCTCTGCACTGGTAAGCACAGACCCAAAAGCTAACAAGAGCCAAGACTGAAGAACTGGGAGATCCAAGGGGAAGGGTGGGAGCCCCAAGACATGACCACCCCTATTGTCCTGCACAAAAACGCAAGTATAGCCCTGCATGGCTCCTGGGGGCAGAGCTCCAAACCGGAGCATTTCCCTGGCTCTGCAGACCCCAAGGTGAACCAGCCCCTTGAGACACTGCTTTCCTCCGTGCCCATGCAGGGGCATCCACTGCCAGGATAATTGCCACATCCTACCCTGATGGACAGGCTTATTCCAGATTTAAAGTCTTCAGCTGAGGAATTCCAGCGTTTTATCTCATGCAGTGTGGTCATGGTGGCAAGCTTCCTGACGTAGACACTCTGCCCCCAGCACAGCATCTCCTTATCGTAATAAGTAACAGTGAGAATGTGCGTAGCATTGCTGTAATTGGGTTTATTGTTCTCTAGTCAGCTGTGGCCAACAGAGTGGGTGGCTTTACCGTGGGAGCTGGGGTCCCTGCAAGAGGAAACGGAGGGCTGGGCAGGGTGCAGCCGGATTCTTTCCAGAACTGCTCTGCTCCTGCCTGCGTCACAAATCCTCTCTCAAATTTCCTGCATGCTGCCCTACCCCCGCTCCCTCCAGCCACGTCAGAGGATTTTACGTGTACGCTGTGAACAGATCGAGGGAACATTTTCAAAAGCACCTAAGTGATTTAGCCGCCAAGCCCCACTGATTTTCACCTCTGCAAGTCACTCCTGCAAACAGGTCTGCACTGGGGTTCCTGAGAGAGCTCTCCAGCGGGATGCAGCCCCTCACCTGCCTGTTGGCTGTAACAAACCTCCAGCTTTGTTGACTGTCTCTGACCAGCTGTTTTCTGCTCCCTTCACTGTGGCTGAGCTCAGTTTGGTTCCCAAGCAGCTGGGCTTCTTCCTTCCTTGACTATTCAACGTACGGCCACCACTGGGCCATGCCAGTGAAGCTGATGGGCTTGCTGGAAGAGGAGCAGGGACTGAACAAAGCCAAGACCTCCTGCCCCTGTGCACCAGGACCTTCATTGGAGGCTCCTTGGCCATCCTGTTCTCCACGAGGCAGGGGCAGAGGCTCAGCTGATACCCCTTGCTTGCCCCACTGAACAAGCAGCAGCCCAGAAGCAGCACGCGGGCTCAGCCCATCCTGTCCAGGGAAACGGGAGATGAGAGCGGGGAGGCGCGTGGGCTGGGGGCTACGGCCCTGCTGGGCCTGAGCTGGTGGGAGGAGGGCAGAGGGGCACAAGGTGCACGGGGCCGGGTTGTAGGGTCCCCTTCGCACCCACGTGGGGCTGAACCCCACCCTCTACGGGTGCACGGGTTGGGCTGGCGAAGCTCTGGCCTGGCCGGCTCGTTAGGCCCCCGTCCTGCGAAGGGCTGAACATGGGCATGGGCAAATTACAGAAAGGATAATATTTTTTTCCATTGTGCAATTATTATTGTCATGATCTCGGGCGAACTGGGGCCCGATACTAAAAGTTTGCCCGGCCGGGGAGACCCAGGCTGCAGGTGCGGAGCTGCCCGCACTCCCTGCACCGCTGCCACCTCGCCTGCAGCAGCACACCTCCCCCATCGTGGCAGCCAAGGGGTTAAGCCTGAGGACTACATCTCCCATCGGGCTCCGCGCCAGGCGAGACTACGCCTCCCGTGATGCTTTGCTAAAGAGGGGACGGGCGTCTCCCGTCATGCCCCGCGGAAAGGAAAGGCCCGCGGATGACGGCTCCCATGGTGCAATGCGGCCGGGGTCAGCTTCCGTCGTGCTCCGGGACTGAAATCCTGGCCGTGGATTGGGCGGCGGCTCCTGGAAGTGGGCGGGGCGGTGCTAGGGGGGTCGGTGTCCCGCGAGGCCATGGTGAGAGTGGCCGGGCTGGGCTGGGCTGGGCTGGGCTGGGCTGGGGAGGGGAGGGTCCGGTCAGGTCCGCTCCGCTCCGCTCTGACTATCTCTGCTCTCGCGCCCGCAGGCCACAGCGACGGACCAGCTGGTGGGCTTCGGGCTGGTGGCCTTCAGCCTCGCGCTCTTCGCGTACTACACGGTCTGGATCGTGGCGTTGGTACGGGCCCGGCAGGAGGGGCTGGACTGGGCCTTGCCCGGGGGGTGCGTCGGGGCTGCGCGGGGCACGAACTGGCAGCACTGGGG